AATTAAAGCGAGATTTAACATGTGACTGGCTCACGTGTCTTTTCTTTAACATATCCTTTGGATTCTTTGGGTCAGAACTAATGGCAACTCTTTTCCAACCAAATCCAAGAAGTGAAGTGTGAATGAAAGATGCATATTAACAAGCTTTTAAACATCGGAACTTAGAGTAAGCCAGATGGCAATTTTGCAGCAGTAGATGACAAGTAGAGGAATGTTAATATAGTTCGTGGTTCACGTTTGGATAAGGTTACGTGACGGTGATTAGAAGTTATAATTGATAAAGATATAGAGAACCAAGGTGCATACCAGAACATGGAAGTAAATACAGGATTGCCTTTAAGATATTAGTGATTGATTCTCCAGACTGCAACCAGGTAGGATTGAATATTTAATATTAGAATTAGTGATTGTATTAGAATTGAGTTTAGGCGATTCAGTTATTGAAAGTGGTCCGAGTTAGGTTAAGTCGTTATTATCTATATATATTGTGTGTTGCGTATTTTACCATCGTAGATTCTCTCCTATTAATTATTATAATTTAATTTGGTAGAAATTTAAGTTGAAAATCTTAATAAAGATATGTTAAGATTATGAATGCCTCTAGTTCTTCCATTAATCCTACATGCTGATAATCCGAGAGATATTTTCCCAAGGGGGGATATCACAATGGCGCCCAACAAGATTTAATTTATGTGACCCCGAGAGGGTTTAATGTTTTACCCCCCCCAGAAGTGTACTTTTCCGGGTCCGAGAAAATCAACGAGTTTTTGGAGGGTGTTGACAATCAAATCAAATTACTTGAGATACCCAGTGATTCATCGTATGCTTATATCACTACCGGTATTCATAAGTTTCAATTTCTCGTTTTTCGGTATTTACTTGAAATTTTTAAAATTGTTTCCATTATAAGTTCAGGGATCACCGACCTAGAAAAATAGTATACATTTTTGTTTTTATGTCTCCTTAACGGGCGAAGTGAATTAGACTGTGAATTTAAAGTTGCATCATACAATCAAGAGAAGTGATAAAATATATGAGTTATCCAAGGAGGTGGGCCAAAACTACTGCTCAGAGCAATTCTTCACACACACAGGATTCGTTTTCTGATATACGTATGTGTGAAAACAAGGCTGTAGTTGTGAAGAAAGTGCGTAGTATTTAAATATTTTTTAAATTGTTGAGTTTGTTATTCACATTATATTTACATATCGTACTTGTATTTACTTTTCATCATGACTTTAAAAATAAAAATAAAAAAATTATATTTTAAAAAAACTAAAAAACACGCTTTTATAGTGAATCGAACTAAAAAGTAAAAAAATAATTCTTAATATAAGAATAAAAGGTTTAACAAGAAAATTAATGTCATTGTGGTAAAAACGTGGGATGCTTTGTATTACATTTTTTCTAACTCAGCATTTCGGAATAGAACTAGTAAGATATAACTATTAATATAGAGCATCCCAATCTTTTACCTCTCTCTCTCTCTCTCTCTCAATAACATTAATTTTCTCGTAAATCATTTTATTCTTATATTAGGAATTATTATTTTTTTTTACTTTTTAGTTCGATTAACTATAAAAGCGTGTTTTTTAGTTTTTTTAAACTTTAATTTATTTTTCATTTTTTAGTTCGATGTTCAAAAAAGCGTGTTTTTTTAGTTTTTGATGTGTAACATCTTTCCTCTCGGTTGCTGGATATTTGTTGGGAGTGATTTCGTGAAAAGGGACGGATATGTGTAACAGGATGTGACGTAAGCGCACGCAACTTGATTTGACCAATGAGAGTGCGTGGCTGTGTTGCTTCGCTCGCTACTCTCGCATGGGGCACAATATTTTGGCAAAAAATTAACTTAGAATAATCTTTTTTCCAAATGTTCTCCTTTTGTGAAAAATGCTTCTATTAGAATAATATTTTGCCTGTATATATCTCAGACCTCTGTTTTTAGGCTCAACTAGAATTTTTGAAATATATTACTTAGAAGTGGGTTTATCCATAACAGAGGGGAGCAATTTTAAGAAAAAAACGCCAATAATTTTTTCAATTGGTGGTAACTCTGAATATAATGTGAATTTTTCAAACATTCTAGTTCAGCCTCTGTAGAGAGGTCTGACCTATATACAGGCAAAATATTATTATAATAGAAGCATTTTTTACAAAAGGAGAACATTTTGAAAAAAGGTTATTCTAAGTTAATTTTTGCTGAAATATTGTATTTAAATAATTTTTTTATTGCAATACTATTCTTAAAACAATTTTATATTCATTTTCTAATATAAGTGACACTAAATATCATAAATATTATCCATTTATATGCTTTTGCATAATCACGGTTCCGAATGTAGTCGGATACCTTAAATAATTAGTCGGCTCCGGTGGCTTAGAGGTAACATGCCTGCTTCGTAACCCTCAATTTAAGGGTTTGAACCCGGTGGGAGTCGATAGAATTTCTGGATGCCAAAATCGTAGACAAGCACGCCATAGGATTATGCGACATATAAAAGATCCCTTGAGTATCAATTTGGTTCTTATGTTCTCGACAAAATTGAATCACGACAAAGTTAAGCATCCGATGAGAGCTTCAGTTAAAAAATTTTTTTTTCGAGTGTCATAATTTGGCACTGAGACGCACAACTAGATGGTGAGGTAACATGCCTGAATGAAATGGCTCTCACGTTTGGGGACTTGCCGAGTCTGAAAAGGGTAAACTGCTAAAATGCAACCCCATTGAAAAAAATTGAATAATTAACTTAGAAATCGTAGAAAATACTGCTGTAGTTTTTTCAAAATGTATTTCTTTAAATCCGTTATCGTTAAATAAGGAATAAAAACATTCTTATCATTCACTATTGAAACGATTATTTATTTCTGGACGCTTGAATGTTTGATTAAAAATATATATATGTAAAAAAAACTATGGGGAAAAAACCTATAAATTTGCTTACATTCACTGCTACAAACATTCGAAAAGTAAATAATTTTATCTGATAAGGACAAGCATTTTACTATAATTCAGTGCTTCTCAAACTTTCAATACTGGCACCCCCCTTTTCGATCACAATTTTTATCGCGCCCCCTTATACATTAATAATGTACTGAATGCAATAATAATGCACTTTGACGCCAAAGCTACAATAGGCGATCTTAATTTTAAACCATACAAATTAGTAATATAAGTATTAAAATTTTGTATACTACTTTTAAGCAAAAAAAAAAAAAAAAAAAAAAAAAATAAAATAAATAAAATAAAATAATAGGATAGTTATTATGTTATTTTTCCTTTCTCTAATTTTTAAATTCAACATATTGCAAAATGCGGTGGCTGCTTAGAAGACAAAATATAGCTATCTGCTAAATATAGAAAAAGAACTCAGAGAGTGAATTTCTAATCATAAGCATTCCTTATAAAAACTTTGCTTTGCAAGACAAGCCCATGGAAGTCGTTAATACTTATTAAACTTGTTCTTAATTTAGTATTAATTAATTAGTTATAAAATATTCTGTGCAGCACTGATACATTAAAAGTATACCGGCTGAAGTGCCCGCTCTTTGCACGAGTCCATGTATAAGAAAATAAATCATTATTGATATAATCGCTAAATTGTAAGGAGTGCAAAGCCAAATGTTTACAAAATTGTAAAATGATTTTTTTAAAATGGTTGCTCAAATTATAATTAGTTTTAAGCGAATTGAAATTTTAAAAGCCTCACAGAATTAGCATTTATATTTGATGTTAAATAATGAACAATAATATAAAATTCCGATGAAGAATAACTATTATTTTTAACATTTAAAACGAAACGACTTCAATATTTTTTAACCCGGGAGCAGACGCGCACTCGATACGGTCGATCGGGGTTATTGAGTCACCCTAATCTTTTTTTTATAATTATTTTATTGTACACGATACAAATCGTGATTCCAGTGAATAATTTAATTAAGAGAAAGTTTATTTACCTACTTTCAAGGACTTTCCCATTTTTCTTTGGTAACAAATAAACAGTTTTGCCAGAATTAACGATTTCGTAATATGTGCGTCCCGTGCGACAACTTCCGGGTAAAAAGTTGTAATTCATTATGATTATAAGAAATTGTGTAAAACGTTTTTCGCGTTATGCTTTATATGTATAGAATACTCGTAAAAATAAGTCTTGGCCAAGTAATCCATCAAAGTGCTCTCTCTCCGTGGTTTCCAAATATCATAAAACTCTTTTGCATAGAAAAACTTCCCTAAATGAGAAACAAAGACATAAGAGAGGGGTCATAACTAACTGTACCAATAACTTAGAAGGTTAAACAGATTACAGCTATAATGTGCAGTATTTCAAAAATAACGACAGTGATGAATTTTTTATGTTCCTAAATTTTTTCGATTCTGCGTCTGGGATCTGTTTTTCTCTGAAAGAGTAGTATGTTAGGTTTAAACAGAAAGCGTAATAAAATAAATCTCTCGTCATGGGATTACAGCAAATCAAATAAAAGTTTTTTTATTTGGTTATAGGATCAAAGATAGCGAATTAGGTATTGAAGAAGTTTTTATTTTTGTTGATTCAATATCGCGTGCGCGCGCCTATAAATTATATCAGAGTAAAAGTGCATTTTTTATTATGTCTGAAAGTATTTTGTTTTAATTCATTCCAGTAAATTAATTATTTTTAAATATTTTATTTTCGATATATGCTCGCGCCCCCCTCGTAAGGTTATCGCGTCCCTTCAGGGGGGCACGCCCCACAGTTTGAGAAACACTGCTATAATTCATTTTCTACTATTAGTTCACTCTCTCCCTATATATATTTCAAATTTTCAATCGTTAATAAAATACTTTCTATTCATCTACATTCAAGTTCAAATACATTTTTTAAAACCTATAGTGGATGACACTTTATGTTAATACATTTTTTCAAATATTAATTCATTAATTAAATTAAATAAATGTATATATAGTAACAAACAAAAATTATAGTCTAACAGCATGCACAGAAATAAAAAACATTTGTTGTATCCCTGCAGCGCAATTGAAAGCGCTTTGGACTTCTAATCGAAAGGGCGTGGGTTCGAATCCCATATGGGATGGCCTAGTTTCTGAGAATGGGATTTCTTTTTTTTACTATATTATTTTACTAGAATAATTAAATTTAATTAATGAATAAATAGTAACAAAAAATAGTCCAATACTATATATACATATTGCCGCCCAACCGTTATAGTGGTTAGTGACGCTGACTGTGGTGTTGTATGGGCTGGGTTCGAATCCCGGGTAAGGCATGAATATTTGCGTTGTAATCCTTCTCTTCTTTGTGATGTGTGCTTCACGCATACTTCTATTTAAGCCCCCGTGAGATACTTTGTGGTGCATGAGGCTGTAAATGTTCTCAATAAAAAAATACCATATATAGAAAGGAAAATGAAATCTTGCAAGGAAAACCGCTTTCTATTTTGTCACTTAATAAGGTGATTCTGTCATATGTATACACATATTTATATTAATTGTAACTATTTAATAAAAAGTAACTAAATTAAAAATTTTCTTTGTTGACCTAAGTAGGAATTTACTTCAATTTTTTTTTATATTACCTGTGTTTTATAGTCTTTTCATTCCACTGGTTTTCAGTAAATAATTTTTCAGGAATAAAGACGACTCTCATTTGTGTGATGTGTTTACTAACTATATATATATATATATATATATATATATATATTTAAATACTCTTAAATTTAGAGTAATAAAATGGATTTGAAATCTTCATTATTTACATCCACTATATAAGAAAAACTTTCCAAACGAAACAAATTTTATCTGGTAGAAACAGTTCAACATTTGGTTCTTTCAGTTGCTTATTTCCGTATCTCATAAATTAAGAGAATGGTTGATAAACGGAAGAAATATTTATTTAAAAATGGAAACGTATTCGTGACAAATTCATTATTTTACAATAATAATTTATTTAGGATTTGAAATTACAAAATTGATTAGAAATGTTCATTATTCAATTAATCGGGATACACCATTTGTGCTTAAAAAATGGAGCTAATACAAAAATCTTGTTTATTGAAAGCGGCAAAGTTCAAGGGGCAATAAAGAGGGGGGAGGGGTAGGAGTAACGTTGCCGAATTTTTTTCACTCCACATGCGCCATTACCACTTAAACTTTTGAACTCTGTGGTAAGTTTACCACAATTTATTAATTTTACAATTTTGGCAATGTTTTTCATTGCATTCTTTTAGCCGTAAGAAACGAAAATGCACTTTTTTTAAAAAAATAGTTTTATGTATGAAAAAAGAGAGAAAAATAAAAATTTTCAAAATTACAAAACTCTATAACTATTTTACAGGAATTTTGCTGTATTCTGTCTCAGCTTAAAAGTAGAAAGAACTAAGTCATGAAATTTCGTTTGGCTTGAAAACTGGTTTTCGACTCCAATTACACCGTTCGCTTTGCATAAACGTAGTTTGAGAATGTTTTTTTTTAAAGTTTTCATTTTTTTAGGGATTAGTTTTTAAGTTGAAGTTTCCAAATTTCACACATCAGTAACAAACAACGGTAATTAAAAAAATGTAAGACAAATATTGCATTTATGAAAAGTATCTATTAGATGAAAAACACAAACACTTTTTAAAATCCTTAATTTTTAAGCAAATTTTTGTTTCTTTTGTCAAAACTCTCGAATCATAACGTTTGACCCATGAAAAAAAAGTTTTGTGTGAGTATTTTTGTAAATGACGAAGTTATTAAAGACTTAGTTAAAATTTGGTGTATTTTTTGAAAAATCGTAAAAGAGAAAAAAAAATGGTTTTAGTATTTAATTTTTTAAATCACTGATTCTTGAATAACAAAGTTTGAATTTTCTTAGAAAAGAGTGTTGATTTACTACAAATATAAAAAATCCATTCAGAACGATTGAGAATTTCTTTTCATAAAAACGCGTCAGAATTGACTCATTTTAGAAAAAAAACATAAAAAATGCAAAATATCGCTGTTTTGTAAGAAAAATTTTACCGTGTGGCAAAAGAAGCGATCTTTTTGATTCAGGTATTATTTTTTATTTGATTTTGTTACGGCAAGATTGTTGTTTTAAAAACGGGGACAATATCGAAAATCCTTCCCTGTCCGGTTCTTCGGCGTATTGGCCGAATAAATTTCCATTCAGGGGCAAACTAATCATGCACATATTTTGACATTATTACTTTATATTTCTTTAACTAATCACAATATCGGAATTTAAATGGTCAAAATGGTTTCCTCCGATCGTTTGCGAACTTTTGGTACCTTCGGCGTGTTTCTTTGTTCTGTGTGGTTCGTGAGAAGACATCCTCACACAGATCGTTAGACACGTGCGTTTGTTTACTCTCGATTTTTAGTAGTTTAGATACAATTTTAATAAATTCTACTTGACAGACTGAAATAGCTTGAATACTAAAGATATTATTGAAAAACATGGCAATATTAAAATATTATTGATATTTTGGAAACCTGAAAAGGTGGATGCTATAGTATTCTAAACATTGCTGGTTGAGGACAGCTCTTAAATTGACATAAAAATGAGGTGCAAACGCACACTTAGCAAAAACACCCCGCATAACATTGAGCAAAAAAACCGATCACATATAAAAAAGACAGGTATTGACTACAAGCTTCTAACTCAGGAAGACGAAATCAATTTTTTCAACCCTGAGAACACCATATTGGTAAAAAGGAAGTTCTAAAACTTCCCATGTGTTTCGTATGAAGTCATTCAGGGACGTCATCTTGGGAAAAAAAGTTCAGGTACATGACAGTTACAATTATAGTTATTGAAAAATTAACGCGATGTTCTGAAGAGTTCAGGTCTAAGAATACTTAAAGAAAACGAAAATAAAAATTTTCATATATAAAGTGATGAATAATCTTAGCATAAAATAATTTCCGAAAAACTGCATATTTGTGTACTTCTTTGCAATGCATAAATTATTACTTGGGATGTAAATAGACACTTCACTTGTGTGAATTCACTCTTCTATAAAAATTCACTTCTTTTATACATTCTTCGGATAAGTTTTCCATTGATCAGTTGGTAGACCAATAATAATCGTGAAGAAAAGTAATGAATAAGCATAAGAGAATGTTGCACAGAATCCGCTTACGTTGATGTCTTGAAATATATTTACTTTAATAAGGCCATTACATATTTTCGGTATTTCATTGAGAATCTATGAATAAACTTGAGAAACAGGTAGTGGCCGCGGTAGCCGAGTGGTATAGGTATCGGACTGTGGCTTGCTTTGTCACAGGTTCGAGCCCAGTACCACTAAAGACCCGCCGTGTAGGGCAGCGATGCACGTTAAATCTGTCGAGAGCTAAAACGTCCTCCCGTTGGTGTGGTGTGGTAGTTAGGAGAGGGGGAAGCCAGCTCAGGTGTCGTCCACGTCACTTGACCATGGTTCAAAATTACGTGGTCCGTCGCCAAAAGCCCTCGTGTAGCTGAACAGTGCGACGTTAATATTCAATCAATCAATCAATCATGAGAAATAGGTAGAATTTATTTCTTTAATATTTCGTATTCATTTTTGCTAAAGTAAGGCGTTATTTTGAATAAGATATTAGAATCCTATGTTGCCTGAATTATATCTATTTTGTTAATAATGGATAATGTATAAAATCCTATTGATATTGGGTCTTTTTGGAATGACTTTATATAGTTACTTTTTCTATTAAAATACACAGAATTTATTTATAGTATAAATGTGTATGTGTTACTCGCGTGGTTTCCTAAATTGCGTTGCCAAAACTTCATTTTATTTTAATTACTTTACGTCAAAATCTTAAGGCAAAACTTATTAGAAAATCATTTGTAAGAAAATAGCATGTTTTTCATTCTATTTCAGCTAATTATATCAATTTTTAAATGTATTGCAAGAGAAATTCTGTCTAAAAATTATGAGGCGTTCCAGTTTGCTGATGAAGGAGATTTGGATAAATTTAATGGCGAACAATTTATTAGATAAATTAAACTGCGCAAGACAGTGCTTCTCAAACTTAAAATATTTGCGACCCAATTTTCAATCATAATTTTCCTCTCCCCCTACAATAATGTATTGAATGCAATAATAATGTACTGCAATACAACCTTAATTATAAACCGTACAATTTATCAAGATAAGAATTAAATTTTGTTTATGTACTATGTAATATTATTAATGTATGTGTTACTTTCGTATACGCAATATTTTAAGTAAGAATTTTAAGTAATATGATAAGTATGATATTATTACTTTTCCTTTCTACATTTATAAGTATGTTATATCAGTGCAAATGTGTATTTTATTTTTTATTATGTCAGAATGTACGTATATTTTGTTTTGTGTTTCCTTTCAATAAATTAATAATTTTTTAAAATAATTCTTTATTTTCGACTTTTTGATATGCTTGCCCCCCCCCACCACTTTGGATTATCACACCCCATAGGAGGAGGACACCCCACAGTTTGAGAATCACTGGCGAAAGCTTCTTGACTCAACATATATCCATGGACATACTTTGTCATTCATGTTGTTTAAAATTAAAAAATCTCTGGATAATAAAATTTTAGAATATATTTTACATATTTCTATGGATGCTTTTGAAATTATCCCAACAACATCTTAATAATCATCTCAAAAATTTATTTCCCGTCTCAGAGGATTCAAAAAATAATTCTTTTGTATATTTAATATAGAAGCTCAATGAAAAACATTCGGTTTTTAGGGACATGCATCAGAGGATACAGCTTTAGAGATATTTTTAAAGAATCAATTGTAAGGACCATTGATCGGCGATTTCTTTTCAGAGAACAATGTTGATATTATCCCATACAGTAAATTCCCTATAAATATAATAATAAAACATTCAAATTATAAAAAAGTTTCACTAACTGTGTATTTATTTAGAATTTTAGCAACCGCTAGATTAGACCGCTAGTCAAAATTCGGCGTGTTTCTACGTGTTTGGCTTCACAATTCGCATATGTTAATAGGTTCACTCGAATCATTCATTTTAGAATCTATTTATTAAGATCCTAGTTTAAACACAATACACAACAATAATAATCTAAATAGGC